AGATGGGTGGAAGAGAACATTGACGATGAGAAGACAATGGTGATGGAGGGAAGAGGCATGTGACAAGTTTTGAGAGTATCATTGATGATATCATGAAAATGTTGGTGGCGACAATGAGCAAGAGGCAATGATGAGGAGAAGATATGAGCACAAGGAGATTTGACGAAATTGAATCATTTGAAATCAGAGAAAGGCGTTGTCCCGAGGGCCCCCTCGGGACAAAAGTGCCCGAGGGGGCCCTCGGGACGTTGTTATATAGCTAGGCGGCGGCGCGACCCGCGCAACTACATGTTCGGTTTTGGGCGGCGGCGGTGCCCAGGGATGCACTTGATCGAGCAGTCGCTGTGGATCGTGATGGCGAGCATGGTGGCGACGTTGGATATCAGCAAGGCGCGCGACGCGGCGGGGTGCGAGGTGGAGCCCGAGGTGCAGTTCGACAATCCGGTGTTCCGCACGCCACGGCCGTTCCGCTGTGACATTCGCCCGCGCTCAGAGCAGGCGCTCCGCCTTGTGCGCCAGGCGGCGGACGCGGCTGCGTGAGTGTGTGGATACGTTTTGGGCGTGTTCGCTGGGTCAAGTATAATACAGTTAATAATTTACCATACCTGTGGACTAAGTCTTGGGCTTTAGCGGTTGGCGACCCTCAGCGACTCTTATAGGCGGGATAAGATGCACACATTCACAAGTAGCTTCTTTTGAGTTTATGCACGGCTCGAGATACGAGAATATGACAGTTTTTGATAGGCTTGCGACATGGCTACCTGCATGCGAGGAAATATACGGGTTTGAGGGAAAGGGAGAATGACATTCTGTGGCGCCGAGACCGGTAGTTAAGAGAGCAGAAAATCGTAGACAGCCGTGACATCACAGAAGACTAGAGACAAAAGAATGACACGCACAAGAGAACGAAAGCTAGAAATTCGAGCTGGGGGTCTTGTCCTGGGGATAGGTTGATAAGACTCGAAGGTTCCAGTTCAAGTCCACGACCAGCACTAGCACAGTCTCACGAGGATGACCCCCTCAACGTACCATATTGGCAAACATTGAACCGCGCACCTAAGGTAATCACGATTGAAAGGGATCGCAGCACCAGACGTTCACGCACTGCGGGAACAGCAGTGTAGCACCGCTGGCTAGATATTCCAGCGTAGCTCCCCGGCATGCAACAACGAACACGGACGCCTCGAGCACGACCACGACGCAGGCCTATGCGAACTCTGGCGCTCCACACAGTGCCGTGCACAACGTAATCATAGGTGCTATTGTGGGCAGCATCGTAGGCGCGGGACTTGCCGTCCTCGCGCGGTGCTACGCATGAGACGACAAAGGACCAACATGCGTACGCCGTACGATAGACCGTCCATGATGAAACAACAAACCTGTTCAAGAATTATTGCTTTTTCATCGTGTTCTTAGCTGAAGACAGTCATGTATTCACGCAACAAGCAAGCAAGGCACATATGGACGCGACGACGATGACGCCTTTGTACATTGTGGCTGAAGACAGCGTAGCGGGTGATCTGCACAACAGAGAACCGGTATAGAGTACTGTGTTCACGTTAAGAGCACTCGAGCCGGGTGAGGATGCTGGGCGAGTCGACACTGAGCAGTTACCACCGCCGCCTGCGTACAGTAGCTCGTTGGAGCTTCGCGTGGACAAACCCACCAGTTTCTCGAGTCAGCGACGCTTGCATCGTGAATCAGACATGCGTCAAAGTGCCGCGAACGCATCCGGTTCAGTGCAGAGGGCCCGGAGATGTAGGCGAGACCATTCGTGTTTACCTTACTCTATTACATTCTACCCCACCGACGCCGTGACTACTGCTTCGTGAGTTCTGTCCGTGCAATTCAACAGGCCCGCTGATAGACCACCTTTTCACGGATTATAGATGAAGGTTCAAACCCTCAGACCAAGCTGATTATAGTCACAACCTCATAGGACCTCGCGCTGCTGCAGCCTACAATGCTGTACGTCTCGATCATTCCGATGGCGCTCGTAGTGGAAGTCGCCGTGATTGTCATCTGAGTGCCGATCTTCGTTTTTCGAGCCTTCGAGTAGCTCGGTCACTTTCTCGCGTGATAAGTCCGCCATGTCTGAAATGATACATCAGGACGGCTCGTTCAATAAAAAAACGCGCTTACCATCACCAGTCACTGGCAAGATGCCAGACCCGGTACAAGTGAGCCGCACCGAGACCTAGATTCTGACTGGCCAACTTGAAGCCCAAACCGCCAAGCCCAGACCCTCGAGTCGCCCCTGCAGCAGCTAGGACACCGGGTCGTGAGGCTATAGCGTACAATTGGCTGCGGCGCGCAGCAGCTCTTCTTCTGCATCTATGTTTGCACTGCATGACGCACGCGTACGACCTGGTCTGCGAGGTTCATGAGCTTTGTGCCACCAGCACCAGGCTCCATGTCAACCCCCGTCTTCAGGAACGTCCAGAGACGTGACATCAATGCGCGCCCGTCGCCATTGCCGGCTGCCTTTGAGTCGAACCTTGCTGCGTGGACTGAGTGCAGGTGGACGAGGGAGCGGAGGGATGCGATGATGACCAGTGCTTGAAGGTAATTCTGCAGGTGTGGAAGGGTGGGACTGACGAAGAAAATGTTGGAGAGAGAATGTACTAAACTGGTGCTTTCTCAGTTAGGTCGGCAAAGGCGGGCATGGACGTGGTGGGAAGGGTACACGATATTAGGTTTAGGGAGCGCATGGCCGATACAACGCGTCAAAATAGAAGAGGCCCTTGGCAGGGTCTACCCGGAGGAAAGTTGCTACATCCTGATAAGTTGGCAGCGTTGCAGACAGACCAACGAGACAAACATACTCGGAAGTCTGTTCCATACGCGGTATTGTTCACGCAATGATGCTTTCGAGAACTGGTCCACGCTCGCCGTGTAGCAAATGGATCTCGTCGATGATGATGAGGTGCATGAGGTTTGTATAACTGGTGTCGGTGCTCTTCCGCGTGATGACGTCGTGTTTTCCGGCGCCATGACGATGATCTGCGTCTCCGCGATCTGCTGCTTCGTCATGTGCGCATCTCCAGTCAATTCACCAACTTTGACGCCGTAAACGCCTAGCCGGTAACTGAAGTTGCCAACCATCTCGTGGACGAGAGCTTTCATAGGGGCGACGTAGATGATCTTGAAGGAGTCTAGGTCGAATTCGCCCGTCTCCTCGTGGCGCCACTTGCCAAGCTCGTTCAGGATAGTCAACATAGCGACGTCAATCTAAGGAATGGCGTTAATCGGTGTATATAAGCTGAAGGGAGGTTGTATGCGCATACCTTGCCGGCATCTGTTGGTGCACACAAGAGGATAGCTCGTCTGAGCCGAATGCAACGGGGTACAGCTTGCTCTGAATACGGCTGAGAGTCTTCATACCCTTGAAGCCCTCCTGCGCCCACAACGGGTGTTGGAAATCGGGACAAATTCATCCGCTTGAGTGGGCTTTTGCTTTGGGGCAGGCACATGAATTTCCTCGTATCCCTTCTTCGCGCGTTTGAACGCGCCCTCTGGTAGCTTGCATTTCTTGTTCAGCATCAGGTGTCCGCCCTGACTGAACATCATGCCCTCGAGAGTGACGGTAGCCATCGGCTGTACGGTGGAGCCAGGAGCGAGCTTCGCGCTCTTAGGGACTTCCAGTTGAGGCTTCTCGTCCGCGTTTACGATGTCTGAGCGCGCCTTCGCCTTGCAGTCTTCCGCAAGCTCTCTTGGCGTTAATCCGGCGGCAGATCTTGATACGACCCAGAGCGCGACGCGCGAGGCATTGGGAGCGAATTGACACTCTGCTCAAGGTGCTGAAGGTGATCGAATGAAGAATCGAGGTCGGACGGCGGTCACGACGTCAAGCCTTCATTAGATCGCGCTTGGTGACGCTAGTAAACCTCACGCTCTGGCTAAAAACGGGGCGAGAAGTCGCCCGTGAAGCTATTCATTGATTGAAGATATCCTTGAAGCTAAGACTGCGCGCGGGAATGCGGCCACGAGTGATGCCCATATGCGGAGAACCTATGGATAATCTGGCAGCATGAGTATGAATCAGCGTAAGTAGTGCGAAGGAACGTACCTCTGAATCACTGGAAGTGGCTGCGTGAAGTACTCTCCACCGGAAAGGTGGTGGCCGACGCGACCAGCGCGAACGAGCCGCATCGCTTAGCAGTGTAGAGGGCTGTCGAACAGTGAGTCGTGGTTCGTGGGTGTCTTAAGGGGCAGCGGCAGTCCGCGCGAAGGAGGTCTCCACACCGAGGTTCCTGTAGAGTCTCTGCTGAACGAACGCGAATGATCCTCGTCTCAGTCACGCTCCTCCGACATTCCACGGTGATCAATGAAGAGGTTGACGAGCGGGGGCGAGCCTGATGCAATTTGATGGGGGGTGAGGATGGTTTGCATTGCGATGAACTGGAGGAGGACTGGAGGGGTAATCGTGAGTCCAGAATTGTCCTCAGTGAAATTGATGATTTGCGACCTCGCTGCGCATCGCTGACAGTCATGACCGAGATGTGGATGTGTAGAGGGCTTCGGTAGACATGTTGGGGGACACGAATGATGAATGGGAAGGAGCGCGTGGTAACAAACGCACGAGTGG